AAAAAAGAAAGAATGAAAAAAATTTAAGAACCAGTGATAAGATAAATCTCTGGGGAAATTTATTATTGATAGAATCTAGTGGTCAAAACTGAGAAATTCTAGTGGTCAAAACGGAGATCTACACTAGTTATCTTAAGTTAATTTGTCTTCTACTAAACAGAAAAATAAGCATTGAAATATGGAAGGGAATGACTTTTATTTTACATATAAAAGTATTGAACAACTCAGATAAAAATTTTTATTAAGTTATTATAATTATGCATTACTGACTTGATTCCCCTTTTTAAAAAAAAGGGTAAATATATCATCTTCAAAACTCGAAAAAAATTATATTATCCGTCCGCAGGGTGGCGTCTTTTCTAAATAATTTAATTTTCAGTTGGTTTTCTATTAGCAATTTTTTTTCATAATATCAAATTAATTAATAACGAGATTGATAAATTTTACTCATTATTTTACTACTTTTAAATTATTTAGTATATTATTTTTAAATATGTTAAAAAAATATATATACATCACATGTAGGAAGCAAAAAACATGCCATTGCAAAGGGTAATTTTACGTTTAAAAAAATGATTTTTGAGTATGCAGATAAAATATTTAAAAAACTATTTATCTTTTTAAAATTGATTTTTAAAACTCCAAAAAGGGAAAAAAAATACGCATTGTTATCGACGATGAATTCGGAATTTCAATGAAATAGCAAGATTAAACAGTTATCAATTTTTTTCAAAAAAATATATATATATGTTTTAGATGGTCAACACGACGACAAAGACCTTCAATTACTAATATCAAACACCGACAGAATTTTCTTATTTAACAGTTTAAAAAATTGTAATCAGCCACCCCCCCCCCCCCAAAAAAAAGTAGTTAAGTATATGCCAAATTCTCTATTAGTATATGCTGTAGCCCCAACTATTTTTATCTATCATGGACGTTTAATCCTTTCGGTCGAGGTAGTGCAAATATAAAGCCATCTTTCGATAAATAATTTATTGAATACATTCTATGTATAAAAAAATATCGAAAGTTTTATCCTAATAATATATCAAGCTTCAGGTGAAATATCTGTTTCAGGCCATTTATATTTCTCGAAGGGCGCTCAATTGGATCTTCTAGATCTAAAAATAATTATGTAAACAGCTTGATGCCGAAAGATTTATCTTGTCGGCCATGCTTTTTGCAGTTTCTTTCTTCTTCCTGTAACACAAGAAGTCTTAGAAATAATTATATTCAGCTAATAGGCAATCTTCTCACTGTTATGGGTACAAGTACCTGCGACTTACCCACCAAACTTGTAGAAGTGATCCTACTTTTTAATTTTTCACCTAACTTAATTTTATTCTCGTTAGTTGGAAATGAGGAATACGTAGCGTAGCCCTGCTTAACCTTCGAGGATAGAGGGCAAAAGTATTATAAATCACTTAATCACGTAAAAACAATTTATTTTAAATATCTAATAATTACAATCGAGTTGTAGTGTAATTTTATGTCTAAAAAAATAAGTGTCAGGCGTTGGAGATGTAAATAAAAAAAAATGTTAATATAATATAATATAAAAATTAAATTTAAAATGTCTAATAATTGCAATTATGTTCTATTGTGTAATTTAAACGTTTAGAAAAATAAACATTTGGGAAATAATAAAAAATGCTTATTTTTAAATAAATAATGGGAAATTTTTTTTCATTTTTTTTTTAAATACAATAATTAAATTTAAAATCTCTGATAATTCCAATTGTGTTGTTAGAAATTTATCAAAAATATAACAATAAGTTATGAAGTGAAGATTTTGATTAGCGAAAACGGATATCAAAAACCAGTAAAAACATGAAATAAGATATGAGAAATCAATACTTTGCATTCAATTTTTCAATCGATTAATATGAGTTACCCCATGAATGTAATTTTCTAATTCCAATCGCCTCCGTTCGGTTTATCATTCCCCGTCACACTGAACTTTAATTTTAGGATAAATTTTGGTACCTGCTGAATTCAAACCCAGAAATATTGGTTTAGTGATACATGTAGTCACTGACGCTACTCGCAGCGCAGACAACAAATTTTCTTGTATTAAGGATATAATTGTGACGCTATCTAATATTTTAATAAAACAGATAAAAACGTTCAACACTATACATTATTACCCATATGAAACTCCTATAAATAGTACTGATTAAAAAATAAATTTTTTCATCACCAATTCAGAATCAACAGCTCATTTGATATAGATGATTCAATTAAAAATATTTGACGAAAATTAAATTAGAAATATGATGAATTACGATTGCTCAAAATATCAATTGAAATTTTACTTGAATTAATAAAATCTCAAATTTTTGTATGGTTTGACCAGTCCTGGTAAATATATGCTTCGTCTTAACGTAATACATATTTAAAAACCTTTTATAAACACAATTATACGTTATAATATCCTAAAATATTTGATAGTTCCCATTTCCGTGCCATATCCGCTTTTATGTATAAAGTAAATATCTATTAATAGGAAAAAAATGAGTTATTACCAAAACCTTACTTAAAATATACGTTTTCGTTACTTTTGAAAAAAAGGAACTCATTATAGTTACATTATGAAATAAGGAACGTTTTACTCGATATTCTAAAAAATGTAATGCACTGCTCGTTACTTGAAAAATATTAAATGTTGTATATAAATTTTCATTTTGTTTATTCATTTCCACATAGATAATTAAAATAAAAATATGCAAAAAAATAATATTTTATAGGAATAGATCTTTTTTTAAATAATTTTTCATAACAATTGATTATCATAACTTTGATCAGGTGAAAAAAATAAGCACATAGTACCCAATACAGCTTTCTCTCCAAACAAACAACTGGCACAGAGGATGTGGGAGTGAGGTGGGTATTTATATTTAAATAAATAAAATTTTTAAATTTTTGGAAAATCTATTAAAAATATAGAAAGAAGGATATCTTCATTTTCAAAAAAATCGTATACGAATTTATAACAAAATAAATTTTTTTTTCTTTACAAGTTCCTGTTAAACTGTTAAACTTTTAAAAAACGACTAACCCGATTTTTAGCCATAAAAATTTACTCAAACCTAAATGGTTTTCTTATGGATAGTAGAGGAGTTTAGCTTTAGGAATATTATCAAAATCTCGAGGAATTTAAAATTGGCTAACTATAGCCATTTAGCAATAATAATCACAGAATCAGATCTTCATTAACATTTTTTTAAAATATCTTTATCAGAATTTAAAATCTGATTCTTATTATTTACTTTTATATGCTAATTTAGATTTGAGCTGCAGGACATCGAGGTTAAAATATTTGAATTCGGGAAAAATCAAATTTTACAATTTGTAGGCTTAGCTGATAACTATCAAAATAAAGCTTAAAAAAACTGGTCAAGATATAAAATAAAAAAAAAAAACTTACTGAAAATCAATAAATCGAAAGAACCCGAAAATGAGGGAATTTACCAAAAAATAAGATCCTACAAACAATATAAGACTTACAATGATCAATATATAACTTTCTTAAACACAAAATTATCAGAACAGCAGTAATCGTACAAATTACATATATATTTTTCTTATCATAAAATTAATAAATTTTCAAAATTTAATAACAAAAATTGATCATCAAAGAATGGTATTTAATAAATTTACGCATAAAATTAATAATCAAAAAATGATTTTATATATATTAGTATAAAAAAATTAATGATCATTAAAAATCATTAAAAAAAACGATAAAAAAAAATGATAACTAAAAAAAAATCAGTTAAAATGGTTGAAATTTCAACTAAAAATAAAACAAATTGCAAATTACAAAAATAACCACTTCCTTATTTGAGTAAAAATGTTTCATACAGGGGACAGAGCAGAGTTAAATATTATCACCCGAAGAAATTTACTTCTTTTTCACCTGAAGAAAACTATTGACATATATTATTTAAAAAATAATATATCCTTTCTTTCTTTTATTTTAAAGAATATGAATTAACATACCTTGATCGATTCAACACAATTACAATAGCTTCACTGGAGAAAGGGGGGGGGGGGCCCAAAATTTGAAAATTTACAAAAAAACAAGGGACGAATTGATTACAAATTTCTTTGTTATTATACACTTTTTTATTTTCATACAACATTTTTTTAAACACACAATCAAAATTAATTTATCTTCATTTTAACTATTAAATAATTGATTTTATATTATTTTTTTTAAAGTGGTTATATATATTTCCTCGCTATTTGTAATAGTAACGAGTAACGTTTTATGTTATCGTTACTCAAAAAAACAGAAACTAGTTGCTCGTTACCTTCTGAAACAAGTTACGAATGACCTTCTATTTCCTTAAAAAGGTAAGCCGTGTAGCGAGACGTTAACATTACAGCAGTTCGGTTATAAAGTCACTAAATTTATTTTTTTTAAATGCTTGAATTGTTAACTTTATATGAAAGATCATTAAATTGTAAACATGGTACAGTATAAATAAAATAATATGTAATTAATTTATATGCACTTAAGATACTTCCTATAGCGATGATTCTCTCTTATATTTATATGAAATAAATAAAGTTATTAAACATCTCAGTATGTTTGAATTCCTTAGGTTTTCTGAAAAACACCAGGATTTATCCCTAATGATTATTAATGGTGTAAAAGAATATATATTCTTAGATGATGACTTACAAAGGTGTATATATCATTTTTATTATCACATTTGATATGAATTTATTAGTAAAAAGAAAAATATAATATATCTTGCAGTATCTTTGATGAATATATACATTCAAATTAATTGGTGGAAAATAAATTTAGGGGATGATTTAGATGGCTATATTATATCTACTAATGTTTTATATTTTAAATCACATATTTTCTAATGGCATTTCATAGATTGATAAATATTTTTCTGAAAAATGATGGAACCAATGTCATAGACACATTATATAAAAATTTAGTGCTACTATACATCTCAAAATTAGTATTTACAGACTTTCAGAATAAATTTTTGTCTATCCCAGTAATGATATCCATATTTAATTAACACATTTTTTTTTCATTATAGGATTAATAACTAATATTTCATATACTTTTATTTGAAAATTAATGATTAAGCTTAATTATATATAAAAATGTTTATAAGTTTAAATCAGGGTCAATAAATAAAACATTTTGGGATTGGAACTTAGGGAAAGTTATGGAACAAGTTTGGAATAGGATTACTATATTTCCACTACAGTTGAAGAATGTTCTAAAAATTAATGAAAATTTTTGATTTGCTACATTAATTTTACACATATAATTTTTTTAAATGGCTTATTCAGAAAATGTGCTTTCTTTCTTTAGTTCTAGTTAACTTCACATAATTTTATTAACATTTTTTTAGTATTAAATAAATTTTTTTTAAAAATCAAATTTAAAATATTTTAAAGTTATATTAATATTAAATAATCAAAGTTATGAGTTTTTATGGGGTAATTATAATTTGTATATGTATATATGGCATATACATATAAATGATGATCTTTAGAGAATGCCTAATAAATATTTTGATGATAATTGATCGATAATAAAATTTATATATTTCATATAGGAATAAAATTAAATATTTCCATCAGGAAAGTTTTCCAAAATGTGGAATGGAATGGATAATATTTTTTTTTAGCCTGAATGAAACAAGAATGCAAAAATTATTTGAATACTTATCATAGGCAAGATCTTTTAACTGACATTTTTTTAAATAGGTTTTATAAGAGAAATTATATATTTGTAATTTTATCACGATTAACCATCTTTAAAGACAAGAGAGAGTCATTGGACCTCTTTTTGTAAGTCTTTTCAAAGGAAATTGAATCTTCAGCTATAAGTCTGATAAGTGTGCCAAATTTTTTTCATTGAGACCTATCTAATATAGCCTAAATATAAGAATTTTAAAATTAGGTCTCCAAATTTTTCATAACACAAATGTAAAAAATATGCGAGAAATTTTAATTAGCCAAAGATGCTACAAAACCTCTTTTTTTATCTTAAAATAACAAAAATGCATATTGTTGATAGTTAGAAAATTTAAAAGCAATTCATTAGATGAAGATCAGTGACATTTCTTATAGCTAAATAGAATCTTCTAATCATTTTATCAGTATAACCATTATAAATGTATAAAGAAATCTGTCTGGAATCAGCTTGATCCTGAAAATTGGAACTTGAGAATTACTACATATATAAACGATATTTAAAATTTGAAAATTTACAAAGAAAAATAAAAATAGTAAGCAATTTGCAAGAAATTTACAAATATTGCTCATATTAATATTAAATTTCTTTGTTTAGCCTGACATGAGACCTGCATGCCTGCCCAGATTACACGGGCCGGCCAAATGGTACTTCTGCAGGTCTCTGAGCCTGACCTGGCCAAGAATCGAAATTTTAAAATTAGGCGCTCCCCAATCTAGTTTAGAATTTAACATTTTAAAAAATAGGTCCAGCCCCATCTAAGTACGACTTTGAACCAGATGGCAGGTCAATTTAGAGCTGTAATGGAAACTTAATAACCTTTGAAGTTATATATCTTCGAAACCATTTAGTAACACATTGATTCCAAATAGTTATTATGGGCCCAAATAATTTGCAAAATTGAAAGTTTAATTAATTTACCCATTTTTATATCTTCATATAAAAAAAAAAGCCCGAATTAAAGGTCTTCTAAAAACTAAAGAATACTAGAATTAGAGGGACGACAGATTCGTTACCATCCTCAGTATTCTAAGTAAGATTTAGTGTTGTTAAGCGACTCGTGGGGCGGTTTTTTTTTAAAAGGAACTAGCCAGAAAAAATGGACGCCTAGATCTTTGCAAACAACGAATTTTTTTTATTAAAATGCAATGGTGGGCCTTTTTTCTTCTAATTAATAAGATTGACGGAATCATGCCCCGGTCAATATATCGTACACAGTGGCGCACAACCTCTTTGATTAGTTTCTGGAAATCAGTTCCACTTGGGATCGAACCCAGATCAAAACTCGTAGTGGAATCTCCCCAATCACCCACCGGCTAAGCTGGGAGACGTTATTCGAGAACAACGATCTCATCTTGTACAACTCTTGAGTATACGTGAGAAAACGAAAATGGCTTAAACACACGGGTGGGATCTGGCAGACTCCACTTTCAAATTGTTACGTTCTTTTAAATGCATAGCTAATAAAATAAAAGCCGAACCTAAAATTAACGAAATTTTTGAATATTCTAACATAAATTTTATGAAAACTTGCTTAAGATCTGAGATAATAATAGAAGAAGAAGAAAAAACAGTTCCAATTAGTATAAATAGTATAAACTTTAACACACCTAAGGATTTTATAGATATCACTAGAATACTGATAACTTGAGTTCATATTTTTTTTGCTTAAATTATCGGAGTGTAATAGAAGTATTTCATCTGAAAATGGTAAATATAAATTATAATGTTTTAAAAAAATAAATAATTACTTTTTTTTGGTTTCTCATGAACAATTAGTTTACTGATGATATTTATAACAGGGCTTTCGATTTTGGTAGCTAAGATTTTTGTTACTGTACCAGAGTTCTCTCGTAGATGAAAGAAGCCAAGATCTCAAACCTGTATTCGAAGGCATCTTGGAAGATATTAGTCTTCAAAATGGCTGGGATTCGCTCACCGCCGATAACGCAATTATGTCGCCGCTCGGTGGGGATAATTTTGAAAGCGAAAGCGATTTGAATGCCGATCACTGAAATGGTGACCGTAACATTGATTGTTTAGCGCTCTTCTTGATAGAAGCTCATTGTATGAGTTGCTTGATCGGAGATATCAATCTTTCCCAAAACATCATTAATAGGCTAAGATCGTTGACCAAGCATTTATTTGACCCTATCTTGATGGGTGAGTATGTCAAAAATGTATAATAATAAAGAAAAGAGTGTTGAGGGGTGGGGGGTAAAGTAAAAACAAAACGTCAATCATAAGTTATTATGCTATTGCCCAATAGAAATGCTTTTTTTTATTCGCTTTAGGCGCGTTGGGTAAAAGGACAAAGTTTCAAAAGCACGACATTGCCCAATTGTTATTGCGCGTCAAAAGAAAGGGTACCCTTGACTCGCACAAATATTTCGACTCCGATACGGAAGATTCCAATAACAAAATGTTACCTAAAGTACGTAAATAGGATGGTGGTAACCCTGATTGTAAGTTATATCGAGTCATTGGCGGAAAAAATGAAGCTCCGCTTGTAGGTCACGTGAGCAAGTTTTCATTTTATTTTCCCTCGAGAATTGAAATAGAATGTGATGCGCGTACACGAAGCATTCGAAAATTTGAATGATTTATATAAATAATGATATTTCGATTTTTTTTTTCTCCAGGATATTTTTCTCGACGATGATACGTTACTAGATAAGATAGCCTATTCAGCAACCGGCGCTCATCCGGAACCCAACCCTAACCTGGATCAGAGTCCCGAGAATGCGGGGAACGATTTGATCGATTCGAGTATCCTAGTCATAACTAATATGGAAAGATTAATTTTACTCGCCACCGTCAGGCACATAAATTTGCTTTACCCCAACGACCCTTTACTGTTTGAACAAATTCAACCCTATTTGGATGTAAAAAAATATTATTATTGTCAAAGTTAGGTTGAATTTATTCGGGAACTTAGAACCGTTGTCAAATAAAGAAAGGTTAATTAGACTGAATGTGTCCATAGAACATAATGTTTCGGCCAACAAATGTAGTGGTTGAGAGAATTTAGAGAATAAAATAAATAGTGTAAATAAATTAACTACTAATACTTTATTAATTAATATAAATACTAATTACATAATCATAACTAAAATAAGAAATTAAAATAATAAAAAAAAATTGAAATTAAAAGATTAAAAATTTAAGTTCGTAAAATCATGATCCTTCTTTTTAAGTAAAATATTCCCGATTTTATATACTTTCTTTGCCTATTCATTTACATCGTTTTTATTCAAAAAATCTAATAATTCGTTACGTTTTTCTGTAACAATCGATTTGAATATAACTTCTTTTTCCTCTATTTTATTTCAAAGTAACTTACATATTACAACAATTATTACAAAGATGACCTTCAGCCGAAATAAGTTATCACATTTAGCCCCAGGATTTGTGACACTCTTACCCCGGTCTAGAAACTATAGCCGGGTCATTCCATGTCAAATCAATCACTTTACAACCCGACCATCTCAGATTTTGTTAAAATTTGGTTATTTAAGTTACTAAAGTATTGTAAGTGACGAATCCAAAATATTAGACTCTTAACTCTATTAGAACCGGAGATATAGGGCTTCAAAGTGGCTCAGCTTGGTCATTTTTTGAAAAAAATGAATTTTTAAAATTGGGATAACTTTTATACTAGATGCACTATGTATATCTATTATGGCTCATTTTATAACCCTAAGTAAACTCTTGAACGTATGTTAAATAAAATTAATTTTTAGTTTATATATTTTTCTTAAATTGCGGTTAAAAATTTGTGATTAATTTTTTAAAATGTTAGACTAAAAATTTTTTTCCAAATTTCAGACAATTTGTAAAGATTACCAAGAACTGTTCATATAAAAAATTTCAGAGTGGGCCCAAAAATATTAATTAGAAAAAATCTCATTTTTGAAAAATCCGCTAGATGGCGTAAGTAATTTAAAATATTAATTTTAACAATATAAGTCAAATTTTTTTTATTCCATAATAAAATATATATCGAATAATTAATAATAGTAAGCTTAAAATAATTTTAATTAAATTATCGATTTTTCGAAAAAATTTTTCAATAATTTATCGTCTGTTATTTTTCCTAAAATTTATAATTTTTAAAATTAATTAATTTATTAATATTTTATTAAAATGTTTTGTACAAATCCATTAAATCTGCCAAATCATTATTCCAAAAAAGGACTTCGTAAAGTCAGTATTTGGATGACAATGTATTATAAAATTAACAAAGGAGATTATATTTGTCCTAAATGTCGCAAATCTTTATATAAAAAGAAGAAAGATGTTTCAATTTTAGAGGATAGTAACATAGCTACAACCTCAAATAATTTCCTAAACTCCATCCATATAGAAAATAATTATCCAAATAATAATGATAATGCGCAAATCCCTACAATTTTTTTAGAATCTTTAAATTCTACTTTAGATCAAATGTGGCATTCACCAATAAAAAAAAAGAGACTAAGAGAGAAAGGATATCCCAAGAAAAAACTTGGCAGAATTTCAACCGCGATTGCCAAAATTCTTCAACCCAAAACGAATACAAATGGTAGCGAAGATTTAATAACTCATATGAAAAATAATTATCCATTATTGTTGATCCGTAATTCAAAATTTATTCTTGGTCAAAAGGGTATTCTTTCAACCCCCAATCCGAAAGCAGGTAAAACCATAAATCAGGGCACAGTTGACACTGTAAAAAGTTTCTATTTAAATGACGAATATAGTAGATTATTACCCGGAAAAAAAGATTGCGTTTCTATAATTGAAAATGATGAAAGGATTAACGTTCAAAAAAGGTTAATTCTTAATAATTTAAAAGAAATCTATATAAATTTCAAAACTATCTACCCTTCTCTTAAAATCGGATTTTCAAAATTCGCCTCATTGCGCCCTAAAAATTGCATAATGCCAGGTTCAAGTGGCACTCACTCGGTTTGTGTCTGCCTAATCCATCAGAATGTTAAGTTGCTAATAATAGGTAGCAATTTAGCAACTTTAACAAAAAATAGGGATTTTGAGATAAAGACTTACAAAGACATAATTCCAAAAATCTCCCCTACCAGCCTGTTATTTTGGCGAATGTCATGAATGTCCGGGGGACCAAGAATTAAGGGCTAAATTAGAAAATTTATTAATTGCACATGATATATACAGGATAACGTTCAAGCAATGGATATCTGTAGATAGAACCAGTCTAGAAACCCTAACGCAAACAGCTGACGAATTTCTTAATTACTTATTTGAAAAAATATTTATTTTGATTCGCCATGCTTTTATTACTGAACAACAAAACAGATTCCATCAGAATCTTAAAAATAATTTAGAGCATAATCATTATTTGATTATCTGTGATTTTTCTGAAAATTACTCATTTATACTTCAAGATGAAGTCCAAAGTTATCACTGGGCCACTTCCCAGGTTACTCTACATCCATTTGGTATATATTATAAAGTAAATAATGTATTAAATCATATAAGTTATGTGGCCATATCTGAATCGCTGGAACATAACACTTGTTTATTTTATTTATTCCAAAAAAAATTGATAAATTTACTAAAAAATTACTTTTTATCCGATCCAAAATACATTTTTTATTATTCCGATGGGTCCGCGGCTCAATATAAAAATAGAAAAAATTTTATAAATTTGTGTTATCATCAAGTAGACTTCGCCATCCCAGCAGAATGGCATTTTTTTCTACTGCCCATGGGAAAAATGTTTGCGATGGAATAGGGGGAACCGTTAAACGCTTGGCTGCGCGGGCCAGTTTACAACGTCCTTATGATAATCAAATAAAATCTCCCTATGAATTCTTTAAATTTGTTGAGGAAAATATATAAAATATTTATTTTTCCTATACAACCCATAAAGAATACCAAGATGAGCAAGAATTTTTAGCGGAACGATTTGCAAGAGCTCTTTCAATTCCTGGTACTCAAAAAATTCATGCAGTCTATCCTGTTAATTTATCACAAATAAATACAAAAAAATATTCCAGTGCTATTGAAGCGAAATTAGAAAAAATACAAAATATAATAAGCGAAATATCAACTAAAGATATTAAAGGGTATGTTACATGTTTATATGATAATGAATGGTGGGTAGCATACATTCAAGATATTATTAGCAATGCTGAAATAAAGGTAATTTTTTTACATCCAAAAGGACCTTCTCAATCCTTTAATTATCCATCAATACCAGATATTCTAATTATTCCGATATATGATATTCTCACAATTGTCAACCCCTTGACAGCCACCGGAAGAACATACACTTTAACTAATGATGAATCTAACTTGGCAATATATAAATTAAATTTAAAGAAATTTAATTAAAATTATTTTAAGGTTACTATTATTAATTATTCGATATATAGTTTATTATGGAATAAAAAAAATTTGACTTATATTGTTAAAATTAATATTTTAAATTACTTACGCCATCTAGCGGATTTTTTAAAAATGAGATTTTCTCTAATTAATTTTTTTAGGCCCACTCTGAAATTTTTTATATGAACAGTTCTTGGTAATCTTTACAAAATATCTGAAATTTGGAAAAAAAATTTTAGTCTAACATTTTAAAAAATTAATCACAAATTTTTAACTGCAATTTAAAAAAAATATATAAACTAAAAATTAATTTTATTTAACATACGTTCAAGAGTTTACTTAGGGCTATAAAATGAGCCATAATAGATTTACATAGTGCATCTAGTATAAAAGTTATCCCAATTTTAAAAATTCATTTTTTTCAAAAAATGACCAAGCTGAGCCACTTTGAAGCCTTATATCTCCGGTTCTAATAGAGTTAAGAGTCTAATATTTTGGATTCGTCACTTACAATACTTTACTAACTTAAATACCAAATTTTAACAAAATCTGAGATGGTCGGGTTGTAAAGTGATTGATTTGACATGGAATGACCCAGCCCGACCCTTCTTTAGGTCCGGTCAAATTCTAATTCTAATATATCTTTGTTATCTTTTTTCCTTCCTTGCGATTACTCATCTTATCTTTCCTTCTCCTTTATTTAGTTTTTAAAATTTAAAGTCAAAATTTTACAAGTTAGGCTAGAGCCAAGTCGGCCCCGGTCAGAAATCATTCATGTCGGAGTTCGGTCTTGAATACCGGTCCGAGCTCTGACTTGAAAGAAATATTTTAAAAGCAAGACTAATGATTAGAGTTTCTCCAGGATTACTAAGCTGTTAATGATTTTAAAATTTATTTAACTTGATAAAAATTAGATATACATTTCACTTATATTTTTCACATAGTGCTAAATCAGGTTTGGGCCTGAAAAAAAAGTAAAATTCAGGGGGGTGGCGTGGGCGGGTTAGAATTTGAATTTGTAGGACTCGAAATTTAATGGCGGATGATCTTTCTATCCACACGTTAAATATAATAAGCGTCGTTCAAAATCGTAATCGGTATTTTACTGCAAGAGCGTTTTAAGGTGCGATACTGCTGTGAAGATCAAATCCAAAATTCAATTATAGATACTTTCCCTGATTGCTATACTTGTTCAATAACGCTGGCCACTCTAAACGCCTCTTTTTTATTTTATTATTTTTTTCGACGAACTACTCGTCAAACTAGAATATTTTAATAAAAAAAATTAAATATATATATATATTTTTTTAAAAAAAAAGCTAATACTTGCCCCAACTCTTCAGTCTAAATCCCGTATAACATGGAGCATCAAATTTTCTACACTTTACCAACGGTGCCTGTGCGAAGTGGAAAACAAACGCAAGATCGAGAGTGCCTTGACTCAAGTGGAAGAATTAGTCGACAACTTAGAAGGTGACGGAAAAATTGATAAACATCCTATAATACCGAACGAAAATAGGATGAACATGTTTTACGCCTCAGGACCTCCGCCATCTTACTACAAATTGCAGGTACTTGGGTGCGGAGATATAGTTGAATTGTTTTTAGTTTGAATCATGACCCTCTGAAATATGAGCCCTTAAAATTTTTACGTAATCTTAGTTGATTGAGCAAACCCCTAGAAAAAATTTATTCATTTCGATTAGAGTTGTTAAACGACTCGGTTTGGACCGGTTTTTAAATACGGTTTAAACCGATATTTTAGCCGGCAAAAAATATTGCCTGAACCTCGAGATTTCGCTATCAGATGTCCCAAACCTTTGTATGCCATCTGTGGCCAAAATCTTCTGGGCTCGCATAATATTGTTCTGGTTATAATATTGAATTAGCCGTTTTTATTTCGAATAACTTCGGCGAGTAAAAAGTACGATTAAATATTTAGTTCATCCAAAATGACGGTTATTTTAAATAGAATGTTGATATATATTTTTTTAATTTGATGAATTTTAATTTGGATAGATGAATATAGAAAAAAAAGAGTTAGTCAGTCAGTGGTGTTGAAAATTTTATATATTCGTATATGTCAGCGTCGTGTTTACGAATTTGAAATCTTGAGATGTCATTTTAGTTGAAATTAAATATCGGATTTTATAACCGAAAATATATTTTATCACCTTTCGAATACCTACCTTATGAATTGAAGACAATTTAGCCGTTAACCTTTTGAGTCAATTAAAATTTATACGGAAAAATTTCAATTATAAATTGTAATTAAGTTTTTTAAAAGTTCGTGGAAAAATTTGTTTGAAATTCGTAGGGTAGGTGATTCCAAACAACGATGGAATTCATTTCCGGTAAAATCAGGTGATTTTTAAATTTAAAAAAAAGGCTCTCAAAAAATGATCTTAAAGTTGAAAAAATAACACATTGCCGAGAAAAAAGGACATTAACGCTAACATATATAAAGCTTGAAGATTTCCATATCAAAAATTATTATTTTTTGTTCAATAAGAAATTTTTAGCTCGTATACTCCTAAAATTGGGCTGCGTTAGTTCAGGCCTAGATATCTTCGAATCGTTGAATATGACAGCAGACAAGATCTCTTGCTACATGGCTCTGGGGAGAATGGACACGGTAAAATTGGAAAGAAACAAAAAAATTTTCATTCTTTATTTAGTTTCCCCCCAATTTTCATTAGCGCATGGTCAAAGACTTATTAGAAGCTAAAAGTTTATCCGGCCCGGATTTGAACAAATTTTCAAACCCGGCCCGGCCGGGTATTTTAATTTAAAGCCTATCACACGCTCCATTTTACAATTTTCCCAACGGATTAATAGATGTAAATTGTAAAATTAATTTCGAATTAAATTTGGTTCAACTCGGATTTTTTTGATTTATTCGAAATTTTTAAGCCTGGAAAACGTATTTTAAAAATCATTTCTATTTTAGGGGCGGAAGGGGGGGCGGCGATGCGGGTCTCAGATTTTCGTCAAATTTTGGTTAGAGTAAAAGTTCTTCTTTTAACCCATCCCCCGCATATAAAAACTTAAGGTCAAAGTCATATGATAATACCTAGACTGACGATGCATTCATTAGCAGTATACGTCAACGAAAAACAGCTGGGAACGCCATTTTTGTTACCCATATCATTGTTAAAAATTTTAAAACGAAAGGGCCACTTTGTTCCTACGTCTGACGCATTCTTTGTTAAAAAATCGCCTGATCATCGAGATCATAAGGAAAGCGAGTTATCGATTTAATGGTAGTTTTTAAAATGAGAATAATTACTATATGGGTGACCAAAATGGCGGGTCCAGCTGATTTTGCATTCAACGACGCCTTTCAAGTGCATTATCAGGTCTCTAGGTATTGTTATGTGTCATTGATGAAGGTAGACTAAGATTTTATGGTCATTTTTCAAAGTTAAAAAAATAGGATTTTTATTTACAAACTTAAATTTTTTTTTGTAGGCCGAAAAAACTATCCTAGATTGGATCCTGAAAAGAAATGCCGATGCGTCGAACATCGAAAATGGCAGTTTTTACAAGCTTATGGAGGATATCAAGGATCCCAACAAGAAACTGTGGAAGAAAACCCGACTCGATTTCTGTCAAAGCGACATAAAATTTTATAACCGGGATAACCAAAAAAATGTGCTATTTTTAAATAACATTTTTTTTTTCTTGTTTACGTTTGCATATTAAAAGGAAAAAGGTTTTTGAATAGAGCGAAACTTAAAAATAAGTATCGCTTATTAAGATCCCGATCGGTTATGACGATTTATTTATCAGGTCCGCCAAACCCGACCCAACTCTCGAAACCCACCGGGAAAATTTACGAGTCTCCGGTATCAAAGGCGTAATAGAATGACAAGAGTTAATAGAAAATTTTTTATAATTCGAAAGATTAATAAATTAGGTACAGAAAAATCATTCCTTATAAAAATTATGATAATCATTTTCTCAAATTATTGACTGTTTTTTGAAACTTTTGTTCGCTAATAAAGTTGCTCAAGGCGAATAACGACAAGGAATCGAAAGACGTGATAGGTGACGCTGATAATCGAGCTTTCGCCAATTGTTTTAAAAGGAGTCTCATCTTAGAGCCCGACAATTTTAAAGCATGGAACAATTTGGCCTCACTGCAAATAAAATCCGAGAATTTTGTCGGCACATGCGCTACCCTAAAAGTTAGAAAATAACAGATAAAGGACAGCTTATCGTTATTTTAAATATTCTTGATTGATGTATTGATAATGACTTGACATTCTCCTCATATTTTGTAAAATTTTTAATCCAAATGTACTTGAATTCGTATTTGCTTTTACCCTTCCTTTCTTTAATATATATTTTCAACAAGCTCACATTTATTTTTGGTGTGCGTGTGTTAATATATATAGGAATCCTTGAAATACAATTATCACCGTTCTTGGCAAATATGGGAGAACTTACTCTACGTGGCCACCAGGCGTTTAGATTGCGAAGAAATGATATGGTGTTTGAATAGCCTGCTAGATATTTTATGGGGTCACGAGGGTGTAGCTGATAATAACGGTAGTGTGGAAGAGTTCGTATTTGACGTCAACAAGGCTTTTGACAATGGTAAAATTGAATTGAATTAATATGTTGTAGTGGGGGGGGGGCTGAGTATTAAATTAAGAGTATTTGAATTCTTTGCATAGTGATGAGCGATAATAGAGCTTACAATGTTAGATCTTATCAATGAAATCACAATATTTTTTTTTAAACAAAAGGATTTCAATTTTTCGATTTTCAAATATCCCCTCAAAAACTTTGAAGATTTTTTTTTTGTTTGAATAAAAAAAATGTTAATTTTATTTTTTGCCGTAGCGACAAGACACGGGTTATCAAATAAGAATTTTAAGGAATTGTATATAAAATAATTTGCTAGTGTCGCTAAACTATCTATCTTTAGTCAACTATAAAACAGCGTGACCCATATCTTTATCCAGAAATATTCTAATCAATATTCAAGTTGAGACTCAGCTTAGAAGCTAAATTCTATTTTTTTTAGGGTCTAAGAGCTTTACTAAAGCACAATAGAGATAGTAGGTAATTTGACAATACTAATAATTTGAATTAACTTTTAATTTTATATAACACTTAAATTTTTTAAAATTAATTTAAATATAATTATCCCAAAGAATAGCGAATTACAAAAAATTAAATAAATTTTTATTTTTTAAACACCAAATAAAACAAAACTTTAATAATTAAATAATTACATTTTTAATATTACTATTTATGTTAATTTTGACCAATTAAAATTTGCGTACTAAAAAAAATCCCTCAATTATCATTATAATCAATTTACATTTTTTACATAATTTTAAACGACAAATCATGATCATGACATCGATTCAAAAGGTAGTTAGTTAATAAAAGAATATTAATCTAAAATATCTAACCGATTATCGGGTCGGTTAAAAACTTTAGATCGGCACCACTTTAAATTGAACTAACGGAATTGTCTGATCCGCCCAACTCGGACTTAGGTCAGTTGGAGCTGGATAAACATTTTCAATCGGACACGGTCCTCAGTTAAAATTCTAATTTTTTTACTTCTATAGAAATTCTTCACACAAATAACACCAATTTTTAAAATATTGTTCTCTTGGCACTTCAAAATTATTTTTTTTTTCGGCCCAATATTCTCAAATTCTCCCCCCCCCCCCCACCGATCTGATTCTAAACTAAAATAATATTTTGTCTGACTTTTTTTTTGAAAAAGTAAATCGGAATCAGGCCTTATCTTGAAAAATAGTTCAGGCACAAAAATCTGATTATCTATTCTATATATTTATGCTTACTGTTAGTCCTGGGAGATTTTATGCGCCGATAATTTCAACCGAATTCATTTAAAGAGGAGTATAAATATTTCCCATTCTTGAAAAATTTAGAATTTTCGGGCCTTAATAACCTTGCAATTATTTTTATTATAAGATGGTTCGCCAACATCTTACAACAGATTCAAAGGTCAAAGTTTAACCGTCTTGAGATTATTTCCTCGAACTTTACATATTCTAGTCAAGGAATTAGCTATGTCAACCTATAGCAATAAAGAGCGTAACTCCCCTGATGATGGTGGTTCCTCCTTAATTAAACCTGCATGTATCGCTCAATTCCAATCTATGAAACGCAAATTAAAGACTCTGTTCGAACGGGAAACCAATAAGGTTTGTCATAGTTGTGAATGATATAAAATTAACACAAAAGTGAATTCGGTTACTAAAAGTGAGTTATGCATATCACAGACCTACATGGGCCGAAATTTTTATATTCATATGCGGCCCAGGCCCATGAGCTTGCAGTCTAAAAAAAATACATATATTTGGCCCAGCCAGCCAATTGTAATTGAAACCTGCCCCATAGTTCATTTTCTTTTTTGGCCCATAACAGGGCTTTGAGTCATTAGAGGGCTATCAAATAATTATTAGCACTTCACTTCTAAAGGGTAAGAATTATATGAAACTTTAAAAATGTGCATCATAATTAAACTCGCAGATTTTTCTTTATTAATCCTCATTTTGAAATGACAGCTTTCTGACAACCCCAAAATATGGTATTTATACGGACTTTTGAACGGACTTTTGAACGGACTTTTGATGCTCACCTTCAATAAATTTGGGAACGATGGATATGAATCACCACCCGAGGACCTGTCAGAAAAATATCAAGTTTAACATAATTTGTTTTGCGCGTATATTAATTATTAAACAGTACTGGGGATTTTTTCTTGCGCCGTCACGCTTGATCATATGTTTTAGGATTTTGATATAAACACACGCGTAGATTAATATTTTAGGCTTGCTCGAAAATTCCCTTCTCCTCCGCTAAGCTACCTATGTTTTCCCCTCTAAAAATTTAGATTTATTAAAATATTACGATCTTTTTCAAATCTCTCCTTTTTTAACACCTTTTAGGCTGCCGAATATATCAAAGAAACTTTCAGAAATCATATCGCTAAAACCCAAGACGCTTCGAGAACAAATATTTATACAACGAAACCTTTAATTGCCTCGACGTATGGATACAGAGTAAGCCGTATTTATAATCTTGTACTTTTTACCCCTAGGTCCAAAAAAGGTTTATAGCTACAAAAAAAAGTAAATGTAAAATAACTTAAGGACTTATAAACTCTTAACATATAATTATCACTAAAATATGAAAATAATTAGAAATTATTAATAGTTTCTTTAGACATTTACAATAATGAGACCCAAAATGGTTCTCAAAAAGGAGATATCAAATCTACCGAGATATTCTACATATTGACTTCCGCCAATATTCTAACTAACTACACGATTCAACTAATTAAATTTACAATTATTATGAGATTTGTTTTGATAATATTATGTATTGTTGTTTTATAGATTAAAAAATACATATAATTAAACCACATTATTTACCACAATAAAATAATGGCTGATTTTAATTTATATTTTTAATTTGCAAAAATAAATTGAAATGGTCATTTAATTCTTCCATGATCGTCCAATCAGTCTTTGTGTGAGTTTAGTTGCAAGATATTTTTTTGGATGGGTTAGGCTACACCCTAATATCAGATTTTGAATCGCTATTTTAAAATAAATTACAGGGAATTAATAGGGCACCAATATATAGAAGGCGGTTATGGATAAGCAGCGTCTACATGAGCGGGAGGGGTAGGAACAGTTTGCATCCTATTTTTTCGAGGGGGTAGGCTGCTTTAATGGGGGTAATATTTTTTTTTTTGGGGGGGGGGTTTATATATTTAATTTTGAGATGAAATAGGACAAAATTTATTGCTGTAAAAATTAATACTTTTATTATAGAATTATTATAATACAATTCATCGAACAAATCTATATATTGCAAACAATCATACACATTGTTTTCCAAATAAAACTTTATGCTATCCTTTGTAATGTAATTTAAAAGGTTTGGATATTTTAGCAAGCTCATAATGCCATAATAATTAATTCATTGTAAATAATGTAGGTTTTAATTGAATTTATTATCTAAAAAATAAATTCTTTATATTCATAAAATATCGATAGTTGGTAGTAGAGATAGATTAATTTAAGTTATCCTTTATTAATTCTCTGAAAAGTGTATCATAAAATTAAAAAGGTGAAAATAATAATAGAGAGACGGCGGGAATTTTTAGGGGAGTAGGCACAGGTTTTAGAAGGGGCTTTGCCAGTGAAAATCCTGTCATGTAGACGCTGTGGATAAGATTGTGTGAAAAAATAATTTGTTGGATGATTATATTTATCAATTAAATATTTTATTATAATACAGAGGACGGATAATTTTGGATTCACAGATGCTCAAACTACAAAATATGCGCAATCTAGAGAAGGAATTGCTAAATATAAATGATATAATCGATAAAAATACAAAAAATATACGATATTAATAAAATAAAATAAAATATTTTTTTTTACTGTGCTTTCTACTACTTTATTTTTGATATTATAAAATAATGCAATTTTCACTAGCAAACTTCTATTTAATTAATTAAAGGGTTTTTAATTTATTATTTTTGCTTATTCTCACATGTATGACTATTTTGCCATTTATTAAGACAGTAATATTACATTACTCCTAATGCATTAGGATACATCTTCCTTTTTAGATTAAAAAAATAGATATTGAATGCTTTTTTAACTCTGTTTTCACAAAATAAATGTACATCAATATTAATCCATTAATAGTTTGGAGTAATATACCAAAACAACTTGATCAAGTTTGTATGTAACTTTTAAAGGTTGGTTCCTCGTTAATGAAATCAGGTTGATAACTGATCAATTTTTTTTCTAACTAAATGGAATTTGATCATAGGTGCTTTGTTTCTGCATGTTGGCTTTCATAGTGAGTTAGTTCCACCGATGGGGAAAGTGGGGGATCATCTATTCTCATGAGGATTTGATAATGGTTGACTATATATATTTTTTATTAAGTGTCATTGTATTTGTGTTTATAATATGAATAAAGATAATGGATGTGATTGTATGAGTCTGTTACAACTTATAATAGTAATAAACGGATATATTAAATATATAAAGCCCTCAATATATACCTGTATAAAAAATTATAATTTTTTAACAGTAAGGTTCTAAAAATTAATAGCATTCTAAATGTAGATACATCTATTATTTTTATTAAATACTAAATTGTTATTTGTCTGTTATAATTAAAAATTATACGAAGGAATAATGTTCCAGAAAATTTTTTTTTTATCTTGCTCTTGTAGCTAAACTCATTTGATTCTATTTTACTGTATCAATAATGTTTTCAAATATATGTGGCATCTCTTTTTACTTTTTATAATTTTATTTAGACTTCTTTATAATTTTTATAGTAACGTCTAAGATTTCCACTTTTCAGATATAATCCTATTCCTGAATTATTATTTTGAATCTTTTAAATTGTGTACATACTTATTGTTCTTATTTTATAAATTTATGATTTTATTTTAACCATTAAATACGTTTTCGAGTTTTCAAACATATTTTTTATTATTATTTTCTTTTAAAACATGTTTATATTTTCTTAATTATTATTACAATATTTAATTTTGGAAATTATTTCCCATAAATTTCTGTTATTTATTTTTGTTTTATTAATTTTTTTCCAAGTTTTATTTATTAAAAATTTTTGCATTTTTCGTCGCTCGTTAAGAAATTAACTAATTTTTTTTTTAACAAATTATAAATTAGAGTATATTATTATATGTATAATAAAAATGCATTCTAAAAATATTAATAAAGTTACATTATAAATATATATTTATTACGCTTACAAATATAATCATTCATTGTTTATAATCCATTTGCATTTATATTAACTATTTTCTGGTCAGTGTTTAAAATGAGCAAAATAATCACGCTTTCATTCATAAATCTTACATGTGCGAATGCTTCCTTTTTATGTAATTTCCTCAAAACTGCGAATCCCCCAAAATTTACTGATTATCGTGCCTGCGCTCTAACATCTTGCGTGTCCAAAATATTTATGGTACTTATAAAAAATAAAATTGCTCAATCGACGCCTAATCTTTTTCCTAAACATATTTGTGCTTATAGGCCAAATAAAAATATGCTGGAACCTATATTATCTCTGAAAATAATAATGCAGAAGTGTCATAAATACAAGATACCCTCATTCTACACATTCATTGATTTTGGTAGAGCATTTGACAACGTTAACTGTGTAGCTCTTTGGGAAACGCTAGCAGAATGCGGTATTGAAACCCAAATAATTCGAATCTTAAAAAATCACTATTCAAATTTATTTGCTTGTTTCAAAATAAATGATAAAATCTCTCCCTTCTTCAGGATAAAAAAAGGTGTAGAACAAGGCTGCACCCTCTCACCTCTCCTTTTTAACATAATAATCAATAAAATAATAAAAGATGTACTGGGAGCTGCTGATCTAGTTGATATGGGATCAAATGAGAAGATTTTTTTTGTAAATAGGATAATATCCTATGCGGATGATATTGTAGTAATCTCGAAAAGTATTGAAGAAACCAAGAATCTACTTTATCTAATTGAGACTGAGCTATAGAGTTGGACTTAGGATCAACTTTAACAAAACTGTTATTCTTCCCTTCCCAAACGCGCCTTCAATTTAAAATTTTACAGTTGGAGAGAATGTAAAATTCGTGGAGAAAATAAAATACTTAGGTGTAATCTTAGATAATAAAGGAAGTTGTGAAGATGAGAATACAAAAAGCTAGAGGTGCGTTCTATAGATATAGGAAAATATGGAAAGCTAGAGAAATCTCAGTATTTACTAGATTGAGGATATTCAACTCGTTGATAGTTCCAATTGTATTATATGGTGGAGATATCTGGGAGGCAAATAAAACAGAGATAAGGCGTCTTCAATCTTTTATAAATATAATTATATTCATATTTACAGTCGTTCACTCGCTAACTAGGAAAGTCGGACTTTTTATACATTTATTTTTTGAAAAATTTCATTCATTAAATTATTTACCAACCTAATAATTACTTTAAAAATATTAACGATCTTCCTATACAAAAAATTATCCTACAAAAAGCCTTATTCTAAAAATTACAAATCTTATTTTTATAAACAATGGCCAATCGTGATCCTTAAAATTACAACATTAAAAATTTCTTTGTTTCCTATTTTATTTTTTTAAATAAAAAAAATTAATATATAAAAATCAGAGACTCGGAGGCCCGGCTCAGTCCGTGTACCCGGACCGGGCGGTATTTTAATTTTAACAAAAACCCGGCCCGATAAAAATTTTTGAAAACAAAATTCGGGCCCGGGCTGTACACACTTTGATAAAAATATTGTTTATTTACCGGTTTCTTTAGGTGAATCCCATTAACCCAATATCTTCGGATCCTGGTCACGAAGTACCAATTTCATTTCTTTTCCTACAACATAAATTTGTATTTCTTAAATCCTATAATATCCACAATGATCATTTTATATAAAAAATAAAAATCATAAAATCGCAAAAATCTAAATCGATTTTGATATTCCTTATAATATATTGTTATTTAAATTATTTAATTTTCAATTTTGAACAGCTGCAACTGCAACAGTTACAATATGGTATAATCTTTAGTAATTAAAAATTAAAAAAAAATTATAGTAATATTTTTTAAAAATATGTGATTTCAACACACCTAATTATAAGCTTGGAAAGAAATAAACGTATATAATTACTTTATTAAACTTTTACGAGTGTCGAGTACCTATTTTTATTGAAATGCATATGATATTAAGTCTGCCATGACTTGTGAAACATTTTTTGACAACTAAAGAAATTTAAGGACAGTAAGTGTAAACGTTATAGGTATAGATTGTGCCCTCATTAAATATTTCAAGATATCCGGCAACTCAAATAGGAATTTATATTAATTTCTCGTAAAGATATATATAAATAATATTGATTAGAATCTGAATAAAGTCATATGAAGCTAAAAGAATACCATGATTATGACGCCTCCTTTTAAATATTTCGCCCACATTTACCTAGCAAGGCTCCGCTTATCCTTCAAACAAAGAGGGCAAGAGTGTTGAAGATTTTGTTATGAAAACAATGTTAATAACAACTATACATTATTGTATATCTAATATGGTATCAAAAAAAAATGATTATTGATAATTGTGTATAATATATTACTCTCGTCATTAATTAATATGCTCAAGAAAAATTGCTAATAAAAAAAAAGATTAAATATAATTTTAAAAATAAACATTATTTATTTTTTTTTAAAAAAAAGAAAAGGACGCCACCTTGCGGAGAAAATATTATTTTTTTAAACATTTTAAATTAAAATATTTACCTTTTCTTAGGGTCATCAGAGTCTGAAAATTTTTTAATCTAAATGTACATTCTTTATATACATACAAAATGGTTTCTTGTATGTATTTATGTGATGGAGAATTAGGGTTACAAAAAAACATGCTTATTTTTGGTTTATGTTTTATGTATGGTAGTAGTAGTATGGAAAGAAAAGTATTACGGCTTGTGGTACGTAAATAAAACTTAAAGGAAAAAGTGGAATGAACGGTAAAAAAAGGCCGATAAAAAAGTTATTTTTGTGTAATTTTTTATGTGTAATTAAATGAGAAATAATGATTTTCTTGTGGTTGGCACATGCGGTATGTTTGATTTTTTATTTTAAATTTTTTTGCCCCTCGTTTATATTATAATGGTCCATGTATTCTCGGCCAGGCCGTAAAAGGGAATGTGAAATGTTGTTGTTAAAATAAAATGAAAAGGGAAAGAGGGTAGTGGATGCCTGGTTGAGGTTTTAATTTAAAATTTTGTTTTTATATAAAATTTAATTAATATGAGTTTATTTTTTTTAAAGTTTGTTTATAAATGAATTTATTTTTATAAAATTTAATTAATATAAATTAATTTTTTTTTTCTTCAAGTTTTGTTTATAGACAAGTTTATATTTATAAGAATTCAAAAAAAATTTAATTGTTGTAATAATCTTAACGTTCCTTCAAACAATATCCTCTGAATTGTGGAATGGAATTGTGTCAAGACTAGTGGATCTAGGAGATTTCTACCTTCAAGTCACTTTGATCAAGAAAAATAATGGAATGACATTAGGGACAGAATCCGCTAATGAGAATCAGCCACCGACCCCTGAAGTTCGACGCAGGAGATGCTACAATTGCCAGGAGGTGGGCCACTTGAGACATCAGTGTTCACGGTCATCCCGGGAGGCCCGCGTGCCTATGGGGGTGTTGTCAGAAAACCCGAGAGTAAGGACTAATGATGGACCTAAATGTACATATCGTAATCTAGAGCTGGGACAACCAATGACCTCGGTTCCTTTAAGGCCTGATTCGGATATTGATCGGCATCCTCCCACTATTCGGAATTATGACGCTCGTGTCCAGACCCTGAACGGAGGTCCGAATGAAGGAGATCTGCTACAAAGAGCTGTAGAAGTTTTGGCCACCGAGGTCCCTCAGCCTGTTGGTACGGACGAATTCTGGGGAAACCCCATGTCCGCCTAAGGAGATTATTGTGGAGATATTTTTATGACATTATAGTAAGTTAACGTATTTTTTTTTCCTTCTCACCACATCACATATTACAAATATATAGATGTATTTTTGTACATGTTATGTTTTGTTTTTATATAGGCATGCCATTGGCCCATAAAGGGGTGGCATGTTGTAAATTATTTATATTGTTTTTTTTATATATTTGAAATGTCAATCATTTCAAATTGGCTTTTAAAAATATATTTTTTTTTTACCAGGATTATTTATTTTTTTTTGGTAAAAAACTGATGTAATTTTTTTTAAATAAAATATTGGAATTAAAATATCGTGTTGTTACAAAATAACCGTCTTGAGTTATAGTTCCCTTAAATTGTAATTAGAGTATTTCAGTGGATTTAAAGTAAGGTTTTGTTTTTTTCTTGTAGATATATTTTTAAATAAATATATAAATATATTATTTATTTATCTGTTTATTTAAGTGTATCGCACATTAATCCAGAATCTTATCCTCTGGTCATGTGCACCATCAATTTCTTTAACTAGGAATTATTTTCCTTAAATTTTTATTTTCAACAATCCAAAAATATAGACGATGGTAATTTATATATAAAATAAAATAGCAAAAATCTAAATTGATTGACCTTTTACATTTTCGATAGCTACAACAGGTATCTGTGAATATTGATCCTATATTTGACAAATATATAAAGTTTTCGAAAATTAATCTTTATCCTTAATTACGCGATACAACACACAGTTTATTTAGTTAATACATTTATACACAATTTTTGTTTAATGCTGGTAAAATAATAACGTAGTAAGAAATAGTATATTAATTTTTATTTTTAGCCTAAGATATTTTCTATAAAGGATTACAAGGGAAGCACTGCTTCTTTGCTTCTACAATCGATGCTGTCACTTAATGTATTAAAATAATTAAAATTAATTAACCAATGAGAGCATTTAAAAAAAAATATATACCTATATTTTATTTGGAAATTAGTAATAAATACTTGGAATATTCCTATTTAAATATATTCAGTAGGTTAGAATTGTCGATAGCAATTGAATCAATAAATATTTATATGTAAAAAAATGTCAATCAATTATTGTATATTTTGATTAGTTGATTTTCACATATCTTTAAAACACAAGAAAGTTTTTGGAATATTTTTTTAATACGAAAATATTTTATTAATGTTAACTTAAAAGTATATTAAATAAGAGTTTAATTATTAAATTTTTCGATTATTTTATATGAAAAATTAAATTGAATAATAGAATTGAAATTTGTATGACTGACAATACATTTTTCATCGACAAAGACTTGTCATAGCATTTCCTTTAGCAAACCTAGAAAATACAGAGAAATTGCTAATGACAATTGTTTCATTTAAATCATTTCTACAACACTTGCCACCTTCAGCAAACTTGTCTTAGATTTTCCTTCAAAGATAGAGGCCAAAAAGTGTTATAGATTTTGTCACGAAAACGATAATAATAACAATTATACATTACTGTATTTCTTATATGGAACAAAAAAAATTATTGATAAATTATGCATTAAATAAAACATAATTATTCTCGTTATTAATATTAATTTGATTATGAAAAAATAAAACATAGAAATCAAATTTTTTCAAAAAAGGTAAAAGACACCACCTTGCGGATAAGATTTTATTTATTTTTTGACTTTTTATAATTAAAATATTTACCTTTTTTTAGGGAAGTAGAGTCTGCAAAGCATAATCATACTAAATTAAAAAAAATTTCCATCTAAGCTTACACTCTTTATATATTTTTTTAAAAAAGGTCGTTCTTCAGAATTCCATAATGCTTTCTTTTATATTTAAACAATAATATCTTAAATTTTATTACAAAATATTCACTATTTTTTAAATTTTCTTATTTTTCCCTAATAAGTGTTCACGAATCTTGGTCTGTCGGTACCATTTTTATATTTATAAATTTTTACTCTCAATTATATTAAATTTCATTTTCAATATATTTTATTATTATAAAAATAATTTTCCATTTTTCATATCATAATTTTTTAATAATAATCTTTAATACAAAATTCGTTCCTTTGTTCTATTTTAACAATTTTTTTTATCCTTCCGCGATGATTTTTTATCAAATCAATATATAATTAAATATATATTTTTAATCAATAACCATTTTGATTGACATTAAATTCATAAAACAAAATATACTACATATATATATATATATTAAAATTTATAAACATAACACTTTCTTCCGTGAACATTAATCCTATTATGAGAATTATATATGTCTCCGAAAATAATTTAACACTTTACTTCCCTAACGCTTTATCTTTAAACGTAAAATTACACAATTACAACATACACATTTGTTAATAAATTTTTTTTTAGGCTATAAAATAATGACGTAGTAAGATTTAGAGATCCGCAAAAATGGAACCGGCCCGTACTCGACCCGTTTTCAAATAAATCAGATTCGGGTCGGGTCGGCCAGGCTTGGGAATTTTATTTTAACATATCTTAATTTTATGAATTTTACATTGAATATTTCTATTTCTATTTACATTTTTTTTTCTCTTTAGCTTTTACCTTTTCTGGTGGTAAGCTCCTTCAATATCTCTCTCCACTTTATGTTTTATTCTAATTTATACTTCATCATATTGGCTCTAACTTTATGGCCCATTGAAGTTTTGGCCTTCCACTTTTACGTTTACCCATCACTTTCAAACTCTCAACCTTATTTCCTATGTAGTTCATAGGCCTTCTCATTGTATGCCCATACCACCTAAGTCTGTTTACCATTATCTTAGTCTTAATGAGCACTACCTTTAAACTTCCTAGCATTCTTGTACTTCACACCTTATCCTTTCTTGTTACCCCAGCAATCATCCTCAGCTCTCATCTCCATAGTTTGTAGACTTCTCTCGTCTGATTCTTTGGTTGGCCATGTTTCCGAACTATATAGAATAGTTGGTTGTACTATGGTACTGTAAATTTTTCCCTTCAATTTGTGTGGGATCCTTTTGTCAAAGAGCACTCCAGATAAAGATCTCCACTTTAACCACCCTTCATTAAGTTTACTCTCTATCTCTTTCTGTATTGTGCCGTTTGTTTGTATAGGGGAGCCCAAATATTTGCAGCTTTCAATTGCCGATATCTGCCATTCATTTATATCAATGCTCTCTGTTTCATCTCCTCCTATCACCATATACTCCGTCTTTTCTCTATTTACCTTTAGTCCGTGTTTTTCTAGGAGATTTATCCAGCTCACTAATCTTTCTTTCATTTCTTCTTTGGATTCGGCCAGTATCACAATATCATCTGCAAATATCATATTCCATGGGACTGTTTGTATAGACTGTGCTAATACATCTATTAGTGTTGTGTAGAGAAGTAGACTGAGAGCCGACCCTTGATGAACTCCTTCGGCTATTGTGAAGCCTGCTGAAGTACCTGTTGTGCTACGGACCATTGTTGCATGGCCCATATACATATCCTGTATTATTCTTATATATTTTTCGGGAATTTTTGTGGCGTAGCGCCCACCAGATAAGTTTTCTTGGGATTCTATCGAAGGCTTTTTCTAAATCGAGAAAGACCATGTATAGCATTTTGTTCTTTTCCCTCTATTTTTCACTCATTTGCCTAATTGCATGGATAGCATCGGTTGTTGATCTTCCAGGCATAAAGCCAAACTGTGTCTCTCCTATTTCGATTATATCTCTTAATCTTTTTTCTATTATTTTTTCGTATAGTTTTAGACAGTGTGACATTAGTTTTATGCCCCTGTAATTTTGACAATTGTGTGGATCCCCTTTATTTTTGAAGATAGGAACTAGATAGCTCTGCCTCCATTTTTGGGGAACCTCTTCATTTTCAAGTATTTTATTGTACAGATTTGTGAGGAGATGTATTCCATCATCTCCTAGTGCTTTAAGGCTTTCTATTGGAATATCGTCTGGACCCCTAGCTTTGTTTTTTTTCATATGCTTGAGGCATGTGATTATTTCTTGTTCTGTTATAGGTTGTACAAGGTTTTGACAAGGGGAGTGTTCATCGAGATGCAATATGTGGGAATTAAAGTTGAGAAGCTCCTGAAAATATTCTTTCCATCTATTCATTATTTCTTTTTTCCTCTATTATCAATATCCCTAGAGTTCTTTTCTCGCTGTTTGGCTAATCTGTATATTTTATTTTGCCCTTCTTTGGTATGTAGATCTTCGTACATGTCATCGTATGCCATAGATTTGGCCCTAGCCACCGCCTTTGTAGCTAATCTCTTGGATTTTTTGTAATTTGTCTTGTCATCTGAGTTTTTTATTTGTACCATTTTTTATAGCTTTTTTCTCCTTTATAGTGGTTTGTACATCTTCATTCAACCACCATAGTTCTTTGTATGATTTGTTGCCTCCCCTTATCAAGCCTAGTGTCAATTTGGCAATGTCTATTATTCCGGATGAAAAGTCTGTCCACATTTTTTCTATGACTTGTGAGGAATCTATTGTTTCAATGTTTGCATTGATTGCAAAGGCATCTGTCATTGTTTTTAATCTACCCCATTTGATGCATGGTTCCAGTTTTATCTTATTTTGAGTGGATTTATTTGAGATTTGTAAATCCATGATTAGTAGCTTGTGTTGCGCGGCGATATCTTCTCCTGGGATGACTTTGCAGTCTATTACATCTTTTAATCTTCTGCGAGAGATTAGCATGTAATCTATCTGTGTTTTCCTAATACCACTTTCATATGTTATTAAATGACTGTCTTTTTTCATATAGTAGGTGTTGGTTAAGGCAAGGTCGAAGGCTTGCGCAAATTTCAGTACGTGCTCTCCTTCATCATTTCTTTCTCCGTATCCAAAACCACCATGATGCCTTTTGTAGCATCTCTTGCTTTCCCCACATGCGCATTTAAGTCACCACCAATTATGACTAGGTCATCCTTAGTGATTTCCATTACAGCTTCATCAAGGATAGCTCTAAAGTCATCTTTCTCTTCTTCCTTGCAACCCGTTTGAGGAGCATTTACTGATAGGATGTGTAGTATTGATTGACCAATGCAGAGTTTTATCTTCATTAGTCTATCAGAGATCCTGTTGACTTCTACTACTGAAGAGGTTAGGTCTTGGCTGAGGATGATGCCGACACCGTTTATACTCTCATCTTCCAATCATCAAAGTTTTCTGTCCTTTCCATTTCGTCTCTTGTATGCACGCTATATCAACTTTTCTCTTGTTCAACATTGATGCCAATTCTCTCGTCTTACCTTTAAGCGTCCCAATATTCAAACTTGCTAATCTTGTTTTCTTTGCTTTGACATTTACTTTATTTTTCACAGGATGGAGGTCTACACCCTGCACGACGCATGGAGGGAACGCCCTAGCTTTCATATTCATATTTTCATTTGTGTCCTTCATTTTGTTTATTGGACAGTTATCCTTAGCACCCGGCTGTCCAGGCCTGTCGGTGACCGGGGTGTCATCTCTAAGCTCCGAAATTCATCATACCATATGTCTTTACACATCAGCCATCGAAGAAAAACTTGAAAGTTTTTATGGTTCTTACCAGGATTGAACCAGCGTCCTTGTTCATACTCGTGTTTCCAAGCCTACATCTTACCCATTAGCCCACCCCGGCGATATAGTTTGTTATTATTAATTGTTTAAAATATAATTTATTGTTTTTCGTAACAAATTAATTTGATTGGAATTGGAATTGGCCGATGACAAGATCATAATATAAATCATGGGTATCTGTAATAGGATATTTACGAAATATAGCGTTACTCTAGAAATAATGGGAAAGGGATAGTGATGCAAAATCGTTACATTTCAGCCGGATTTCAAAAAAGGCCAACTCAATACAATACTCAAGCCTGAAGATTTTACTCATATATGCCTCAAAGGTTTGGACTATCATTGTGTAATTCTACGTATAAAGAAACTTTGGGGAAGTAATGTATAAACTATTTTGTAAAGATTTATATAATTCTCATGAATCCCGGAAAAAACCCCCTGGAAAAAAACCCCGAAATTTTTTTTTTGAATTAACTTAAGACCTAATAATATCGGTATCTTTTTTATTTGGATTTAATAAGGTATAGACATTAGTATCTTAGAAAAAAAAAAATATTATAGAAATATAATTTAATAATAAATTTTTTTAGGCCCCAAATCAATTACTTAAAGATTAACTCATGTACCCTCCATAGTGACCGAACACTTTGATCTAATTTTTGCAACTTCTTCTGCAGAAATTTGAAGAGATTTTGCTAAAGCGGCCTCGTTTCTTCATGTTTGCAACAGATTTCATTGCTACTATTCCATCAAAATTTGATGGATGATTATGAGCTGTTTCAACTATCGGGATTTGATTTTCGGGTGTTGATGAAAGTATTGCTCGGCATTTAAAAGATGAATATTTTGAGCTGCTCCATCTTTTTTATGGATGGTATAAGAATAACCTTCAAATATGATTTTTCCAGGAGGAATTAGATCCATTAATTTTTTTTAAAAATAAAATTAAAATTTTATAACTTAAATATTATATTAGTATAAATTATCAAATTAAACTACAATAAAAAATTTTTTTAGTCTTTATATACCATACAAAGATGATACAAATTATTAATTTTCAATTTTATAAATACCAGGAATTATAGCGTTTTCAATTCTGATAAACGATTTTAATTCTGTTGATTAAATATTAATTTAAACCCTTAATGATAAACAATAAGGAAATACATCATTCCAATTTTTTATATATATAAAAGAATGTATATATAGATAAAAATTTTATTAGGTTAATATAATTATGCATTACAGACTCTCATTGCCCTTTCAAAAAGGTAAATATTTTAAATTATAAAGAGTAAAAAGGAATATAAAATCTTATCCGCGAGATGGAATCTTCCTTTTTTTTGGCAATTTTTCTAAAATCAAAATTAATTAATAACGAGAGTAATAGATTTTAAATCATTTTTTTAGTATAACCAAGATTGTTTTCATAACAAAATCTATAACACTTTAGCTCTCTATCGTTGAAAGATAAGCAGAGCTACGCTAAGTATTCCACGTTAAATTGGGTGAAGATTTTAAAAAGGAAGCGCTCTGATATTTGTTTGCTTAGAGAATTATATTCCTAAGTCATTATTCAGGTTCTAATCAATTTTTATTTATTATCACTTTGTCAGAATTTAATATGAATTCCTATTTTCATTTTTCGCGTATTTTTTTTTTTAGATTTTGAGCTGCTGGACATCGGGGTTGAAATATTTAGTAAGGGTATAATTTACACCTTTAACGTATAGAGTTGTGCTCTTAAATTTCTTTAATTGTCTAAAAAGGTATCATAAGTCAAGTGTTTGAAATCACAAATTTATGAAGATATTATTCTGTGGAATAAGATGATATTGAATCTACCAGAATAAATATCATATCTTAAATATTAATATTTTTTTTTCAGAATTGATTTACATATTTCTTGAATACGCCAACTACAGCCAAAAGAATTTTTTCAAAAAAGGTAAATAAAGATTTAAGGTGTAAAGGCCTTAATTAATATATTTATTAAATAAAAATTCCTAATAATAAATCAAAATCTAAGAATCTAATGTCCATACACATCTTATCGATAATATACAACAAGCATATAAAATGCTAAAGGTTCATACTAAAGTAAATAATAAATATCATATTTAATATAATTTTTATAAAAACAAAGACCACCTCTAAAAATTATTTTGATACGGGTCATTGAGGGATTCCGAAAGATATCACTATCTAACCATGTGATTGGATAAAACAAATAGAGGCTGGAATTAATTCATCTATAAATCAAACTGATAGGTTAGGCTAAATAATGTAACCTTAGGATTACTATTTATTGAACCATTATAGATCCAATAAAAAAAAATTACTAGAGAAAAATTGATATTAATGCCGATAAAGGTATTTAATTTTCAAATGCTAAACAATTTACATAGCCATAAGGCACGAAAGTGTTTGTAATTCAGGAGTCAACCTGGAGTGTTTTGTATTGCAACTCCAATAATGCTAATTGGAAACCTCTCAAGATATTATTTTTATTGATTCAACTTCAAGTTATGATAACGCCCATTCTAATCTGACACTAGTACTAACAGTAATTTAATATGCATACAGAATTAATGATTAGGGTAACTGAAGACAATATTCTTCAAAGAATAAATCCTTCAATGCTGCTTCTCTTACTAAGTGTTGTTTAACTCAATATTTTATCCAGAAAAATATTACCCATGCCTGAAGATTTTTCTCATAGATGGCACAAATTTGACATCTTTTAGCGAAATCTGGAGCCTTAGGCAATATTTCTTTGGCTAAAATATTGAGTTTGCCGTTCTTAACACTATTATTACAGAAACCTTCATCAACATTTTTAAACCATATTTGGAATGTAAGATTCTATAAATCATTGGTAAAAATTCTAAAACAA